AATTTTAGTGAAAAGCTAAATTCTAATATATATGGTATGCTATGGTTTGCTGTTAGCATCATATCACTTGGTACATAAAAGAATAGTGATGAGAGCGGTTGAACATCTTTCTTAGGTTATTAACTGTTTATATTTCTTTTTCTGTGAATTATCTGTCCATGTCTTTTGACCAATTTTTATTGAGTGTAGAATCTTTTTCTTATTGATTTATTAAAGCCCTGTACATATTCAGGACATTAGTCTGAATATGTATTGTAAATATTTACAATACAATTGTCATATGTATTGTAAATATTTCTCCCCAATTTCTCATTTGCCTTTTGACTTTGTATTGATAGGGTACATTTTTTTTTTCTAAAGAGAAATTAAAAATTTTTGCAGGTTGGTATCAATTTTTTTATGCCTTCTGGGTTTTGGGTCTTTTTTCCCCCATTCCTCATCCCCTCCCCTTTGGCAACCACCAGCTTGTTCTTTATATCTAATGGGTCGGTTTCTGTTTTGTTTCATTTATTTATTTATTTTTCACTTATAAATGAAATTATATGGTATTTGTCTTTCTCTGCCTGATTTATTTCACTTTGCATAATTCCCTTTAGGTCCATACGTGTTGTTGCAAATGGCAAGATTTCATTACTTTATTAAAGAGTAATAGTCCATTTTCTGTTGTACCATATCTTCTTTATCCATTCATTTATTGATAGATATATGGGTTGTTTCCATATCTTGGCTATTGTAAGTAATGCTGCAGTGAACATAGGCCTGCACATATCTTTTCAAGTTAGTATATTTATTTTCTTTGGATAAATACCCAGAAGTGGAATTTCTGGGTCTCATGGAAACTCTATTTTTAATTTTTTGAGGAATCCCCATATTGTTTCCCATAGTGGCTGCACCAATTTGCAATCTCACCAACAGTGCACGAGGGTTCCCTTTTCTCTACATCCTCGCCAATACTTGTTGTTTGCTCATTTTTTGGTGATAGCCATTCTGATGGGGTGAGGTGTTAATCTCATAATTTGCATTTCCCTGATAAGTAGTGATGTTGAGCATCTTTTTATATGCCTATTGGTCTCTGTATGTCCTCTTTGGAGAAATGTCTGTTCAGGTTCTTTGACCATTTTAAAATTAGATGATTATTATTTTTATGTTATGTTATTTTATTTTTTTGCTAAAGAGTTGTATGAGTTCCTTATATATTCTAGATATTAACACCTTATCAGATACATGATTTACAAATATTTTCTCATATTCCGTAGGTTGCTTTTTCATTTTGCTGATTTTTTTTTTTGCTGTGCAGAAGTTTCTTAGTTTGTTTAATCTCATTTATTTATTTTTGCTTTTGTTGCTTGTGCTTTTAGCGTCACATCCAAATATTGTTGCCAAGACTAGTGTTAGGGAAGTTTTTCCTCTATGCTGTCTTCTAGAATTTTATGATTTCAGGTCTTACATTTAAGTTAATTTTTGTAAGTGCCGTAAGATAGGGGTCCAATTTTATTCTTTTGCATATGAGTATCCAGTTTTCCCAATATTTGTTGAAGAGACTATCCCTTCCCTATTGAGTATTCTTTGCTCCCTTGTCAAATATTGATTGAATATATATGCATGGATTTATTTCTGGGCTCTTGATTGTGTTTCATTGGTCTATGTATCAGTATCATACTGTTCTGGTTACCAGAGCTTTGTAGTACAGTTTGAAATCAGGAAATGTGATGCTGCCAGCTTTGTTTTTCTCTCTCAGGATCGCTTTGGCTTTTTGAGGTCTTTTGTGATTCCACACAAATTTCAGGATTTTTTCCCTATTTCTGTGAAAAATGCCATTGAAATTTTGTTAATGTAAGGAATGTATCGGATCTAGATTTAGCCTTGGATTATATTGACATTTTAACAATATTCTTCTGATCCATGAATGTGGGATACTTTCTTATTTTTGTCTTCAATTTCTTTCATCAGTGTCATATAAATTTAAGTGTACAGACCTTTTATTTGTTAAATTTATTGCTAAGTATTATATAATTTCTGATGCTATTGTAAATAGAGTTGTTTTCTTTATTTTTTTCAGATAGTTTGTTGTTAGTGTACAGAAATACAACTGATTTTTGCATGCTGATTTTGTATGCTTCAACTTCACTGAATTCATTAATTCTAACAGTTTTTTTGGTGTAGTCTTTAGGATTTTCTGTATATAAGATCATACCATCTGTAAATGGACAGCTTTACTTCTTCCTTACTGATTTGGATGCCTTTTATTTACTTTTCTTACCTGATTGCTCTGGCTAGGACTTCCAGTATTATGTCGAATAGGATTGGTGAGAGCCGGTACCTTATCTTGTTCCTGATCTTCGAGGAAAAGCTTTCAGTTTTTACCATTGAGTTTGATGTTGCTGTGGGCTTGTCATATCTGGCCTTTATATTGAGGTACATTTTTTTCTATACCAAATTCTTTGGAGTTTTTATCATGAAAGAATGTTAAATTTTGTCAAATGCCTTTTCTGCATCTATTGAGATGATCATGATTTTTATCTTTCATTCAATTAATGTGACGTATCACATGTATTGTTTCGTGTGTATTGAACCGTCCTTGCATCCCAAGGATCCATCCCAGTCAATCATGGTGTATGATCCTTTTAATGCACTGTTGAATTCAGTTTGCTAGTATTTTACTGAGAATTTTTGCATTTACATTCATCAGGTATATTGCCTATAATTTTCTTTTCTTGTAGTATCCTCATTTGGCTTTGGTATCAAGGTATTGCTGGTCTTGTAAAATGAGTTTGGGAGTATTCCCTCCTCCTTAGTCTTTTGGAAGAGTTTGAGGAGGATTGGCCTAAATTCTTTAAATTCACCAGTGAAACCATCGAGTCCTGGGATTTTCTTTGTTGGGAGGATTTTGATGACTGATTCAATTTTACTCATTATTAGTCTGTTCAGATTTTCTGTTTTTTTTTTTTTTTTTCATAATCCGGTCTTGCTAGGTTGTATGTTTCTATGAATTTGTCCATTTTTTTCTAGGTTATCCAATTTGTTGGCCTATAATTGTTCATAGTAGTCTCTTTTGATCCTCTGTATTTCTGTGGTATCAGTTGTAATGCTGCCTTTTTCATTTCTGATTTTATTTGAGTCTCCTCCTTACTTTGTCTTGCTAAATGTTAATTTTTTTTTTCTTTTCAGAAAACCAGCTCTTAGTTTCATTGATCTTTCTATTGTTTTCCTGGTCTCTGTTTCATTTATTTCTGCTCTGATCTTTGTTATTTCCTTCCTTTTGCTAATTATGGGCTAAGTTTATTCTTTTTCTAGTTACCTGATGTGTAAAATTAGGTTGTTTATTTGGGATCTTTGTTTTTTATTAATGTAGGTATTTATTGCTATAAACTTCCCTCTTAGAACTTCTTTTTCTGTATCTTGTAACTTTTTGTATGTTGTGTTTCCATTTTTGCTTGTTTTGAGGTATTTTTTTGATTTCCCTTTTGATTTCTTTGACTCATTGGTTGTTCAAGAGTATGTTATATAATTTCCACATATTTGTGAATTTTCTGGTTTTTCTCCTGCTATTGATTTCTAGTTCCATACCACTGTGGTTGGAAATGATACTTGGTATGATTTCAATCTTAAATTGTTAAGACTTGTTTGGCATGTACATTTTACTTCAAAATGCATTAAAAATAAGATAGATTATTGAATGGATAAAAGCATGTATATATCAACAGATGTGTCGTAAAGTAAGGATAGTAAATGTTAAGGGTGGAATGAGTACATGGCTATTTGTTGTCTTATTTCTTCAACTTTAGGTTTGAAAATTCTCATAATAAAATGTTTGATACATTTCTGGTAATGCCTTTGCCCAGACAGAGCCTGCTTTTTATTCATTTATATACATGTATACATGTGCCGGGGGTTCCCAACTAGGGGCAGTTTAGCTCCCCAGGGACACTTAGTAATGTCCAGAGACATTTTTGATTATCATGTCTGGGAAGCTGATGACATCTAGCAGGTAGAGACCAAGGATGCTGTTAAACATCATCCAGTGCACAGGATAACCAAGAATGATCTAGTTTCAAATATCAATACGCTGAGGCTGAGAAACCTTCACACACACACACACACACACACACACACACACACACACCAGGTCCTCAAATAATGTCGTTTAATTCAACAACATTTCATTGTTATGTTGATGAAATGCCTTTGAGTTAACTGATATTAATTCTTGTTTATATTAATTAGCTTATGATAAAATTGCTTTATTATCCATTGTTTTGCTTAAAGTCACAAAACCTTTCAATGACGTTGAGAACTGACTATAGATACATCAATATGTATATATGTGTGTGTGTATATATGTATATATATAAACTCAGTTATATATATAACTCAGTTTTTATATATATATAACTGAATATCTGATGATATACAGCCATTCAAATAAATGCATATATGTGCATATTTTGTGCTTACATATATTTTAAACAAAATTAGACTCATAGTTTTATAACCTGTGTTTTCATAATGTATTGTCATTTTCCCAGGTATTAAATTGCCTTCACAGTATCATATTTCAGTGGTGATTGTAGATGTATATGTTGTGATTTATTGTGCCCAGCTATATTAGGGCATTTTTAGGTGGTTTACCAATCTTCAGTATACCTCAGTAGAATCTGAACCTTTCCTGTCAGACAAATCTCAATTATGTGTTGTGAAGAGGGAAAACTTGTTGGTTGTCCTTGGAACCAACTTGGGTGTCAACATCTTCTGTGGCTGGGGCACTCGTTCTGGGGCTGTCCAAGGGTTGTCATCTTTCCTTTGGGTGTTCTTCTTCACAGGCTGTGGCAAGCAGAGGCAACAGCCAGCAGTGTGGCATCTCACTAGCCCTGGGTCAACACTGGGCTGCCCAAGCTATGGATGGGGACAGAGAGCTATGTGCCCCCGGTCACCTAGCCCAAGTTCTGTTGCGTTCCTAAGGACACAACCTGACTTTAACCTCTGTCTTCTTTCAAATATAGGCCTCTCCTTCTGGTGATAAGAGAAAGGAAGAATGGACTACAGTCACCAAACTTCCCTAGTCCCATGTGGAAAAGATAAATACATTTCCAAGTAAGACTTTTTGCTGTCTTGTGTCCCCAGTGGCCAGTCCCATGCGGATGGAAGGCCCTGGCAGAGGTGCCTTTTCTGTACGTGAGAGAGCTGGGGCTTTGTGTGTGAGGAGGAGCTAAGTAAGGAGCTGAGTGTGGACTAGTGAGAGCATTGGCAAGGCTGCTGCTCTAGATGAAGACCTGCCCCTTAGAGCCCGGCCATCAAGAGTGAAGTAAAGGGGGACTTCAAGACACAGCACCTTTGAGGACTCAAAAGAGATGGTGTCCTGGAGGGCTTCCAGGAGGTGAAGTGAATGGTGGCTGCTCACTGTCCTGTCTGTAGTGTCTCCCGCAGGAGTCTCAGTTGAGTTGTGTCCCTGTGCTGCTGGGATTCCGGCTGAAATGGGCACAGGTACCCGGTGAACAGAAGAAGGCACTAAAACCTCTTGACCTCAGCCTTTTGCTAATGTGACAGGGGCTTAGCAAAAATGGACTTTTTCGAATTGTAAGTTTCAGGATATATTTGCCTATCCAGCACAGGGATTTGTACATTGTGAATGGTCTCTGTCTTACCTAAATGTTTAATTTATCTGAGACCAAATTGTTTTAATTCCTTTAGACACCCTCAGCCACCTACAGACACACAGTTGTGTGAAATATAGATCATTATGATCGCTTCACTGAGGGATTTTCCAGGGACTTCTACTGACCAGTAATTTTACATCCTAGTTTTAGATCTGTGTGTTCAAAAGTACCAAACAGCTTTTGTTTCAAGATATTTGGAGTCACAATTTCTAATAATTCATTTTGGCTTGCGTAGAATTACTCCAGTTTATCTGGGCTTAGCGTGTCAGGAGCTTCTTGGAATTTCCAGCCAGTTTTGACCTGTGGCATGGCCTCAGATCTCTCCATCGAGTGGCTGGATTTAGAGGGTTCACACTCCACTGCCTGTTGCTTGAGAATAGCGAAAGCACACAGCAGCCCCCCTCGAGCTTCTCTCCGCTCCCAGCCCTCATGCGCTACCACGCACTTTTAGGCAAAACTTGATCTGACTGTTCTCAGGTTTGACGAGGATGCACCCTGGTCACTAGGGGCCTGAAACTCTCTCCCATTTTCAGCAGAGCTGTGTCCCAGGGTGGGGTGGGGTGTAGGGGCTGCCTGGAAACCAGTATTTCTCAGCTAAGAAGGCATGATACCAGGCTTCAGAGGGGGCTTATCAGTTAAATAAATCAATTTTGTTAATAAACTAAAAGCACCTAGAATAGACTAAAAAGACAAAAGTATCTAGAATAGAATATCGCCGGGTCCCCAAAGCCCCCTCATGCCCACTTCTACTCACTACTCCCCAAGGTGAACCATTATCCTGAATTCTAACATCCATTTCAAACTTTATATAAATGGAATCATACCGTATGTGCTATTTTGTGTCTGGCTTCTTTTAGTCAACATAATATCTGTATGATTTATCTGTGTCCTGTGTAGCTACTTCATGTTCTCACCACGATATGATATTCTGTCGTGTGACTATAGCTGCCTTTATTCATCCACTCCACTGTTGATGGGAGTTTGTAAGTTTTTAAACACACAATAAGGTATTGTTTATGAAATATTAGTCAGTGGGGCCCAGACTTGTCCCCTTTAACTTTTGGAAAAGCCTAGAAGTTTCTGAGTCTCATGAAGGCCTGATGCGATGGTCCTCTCCTGACTCAGCTCACGTGAGGGTGGAAAGGCCGAGAGGTGGGGGAGACCTTGCCTGTGGACTTTGAGGTGTGTTTGCCTCTGTGACTCTGTGACTTATTAAGGACGGGTTGTTTAGCCTGGGTTTGCGGAGTGTTGTCAGAGCTGCCGGTCTCCGTCAGCAGACCAGGCCTGCCTCGGTTTTCTGGAGTTGCTGTTTAGATTCAGTCTCTTCTAGGTGGTGTCTACTCTTGGCCTTGATACTGGGAGAAGAAGGTGATGGGAAGGGTAGTAGAAGTGTGTGTGTGTGTGTGTGTGTGTGTGTGGGAAGATGGTGATGGGAAGGGTAGTAGAAGTGTGTGTGTGCGTGCGTGCGTGTGTGTGTGTGTGTGTGTGTACACACGTGCAGACAAACTCCCAGACGTGGGTAACTAAAGGCAAGGTTAGAAGTGAGAAAAAGAGGGAACAACTGCATTATAGGTGGCTTCAGCTGAGAATATTACACCTCTTGTGTTTCCCCCTAAGGAATGAACTTCTCCTCCATCTGAAGACCTACAACTTGTATTATGAAGGCCAGAATTTGCAGCTCCGACACCGTGAGGTGAGGATTCCCCAGGGAAGGTCTCTTTCTCTGGTGGGCCAGCCCAGTCTTTGTCTCTCCATGTCGTGGGTCTGGGGGCTCTGATCCTGGGTCCCCCACAGTAAGTCTCTCCCACAGTAAGTGGCCTCTCATTTAGGATGTTAGTGGAGTTCCTGGAGTTCTTTGGAAGTTGTTCCAAAAAGGGTGAGCTTTTCTGTTCCAGAGTCATTCCAGAGGCAGGCTAGCACCAGCCTCAGAAAGGGGGTCATCCAGAGGGAGTCTTCATGAATTGACCCTTTCAGGTGGCTTTCAAGCAGGCTTCCTCTCCTTGGGAAACTCAAGAACCTTACCCAGTGTCCTGTGTTTACACATTTGGGACCATGTCCTGGACAAGTTGCCTAAGCTCTGGGTGGTAACTCTTAGCCTTCCCCACAACTGCATCAGCCTTCTAGGGTGCCTTCTTGGAATGCCCGTTGTTATCCATCTGCCTTTCTCCAGCCCCCATCATGAATCTAAGCTTGCTCATCCTGTATCCATTTCTTTAAAGCCTGTTATCAGACAGATGGTGAGTTGTATAGGAGCCTGGAAGAATAATTTATACTCAAGTGTTCTTGACTGATAAGAAGGTGTATATATACCCTTCTAAACGCATTTTCAGGTTATCAAGCCATGGTGATTTAATCCAGAGAAAAAGATATCAGATGATAGAATTTCAGCTACCAAGGCAGGCTGGTTGGGGATAATATTTGGAATGTAGTGGCCTTCTCTGTGTCCCTCAAACTAGTCAACTTAGGCAAAGTCCTACTGGGTTAAATTCTGTCCTACAATCATGTTAGTTAAAGTGATGATGCCAACCTTGACCATCTAGAAGGCCATATATATAGCTTGTGCTTAAATAAAACCTTTCCCCCCAAGACCTCCGAATGCCCTAAAGTTGTTTCACCCCTCCTGCCTTCTTTTATTCTCCTTCCCTCTCTAAGGATGATCCTGGGGCTCAGGTTAGTTGTTCATTGGACAGGTGTCATCTTCATAGTGAAGATGTGGCCTTGGCCCAGGTCTGACATCTGTGGGCCCTGCCCATAAAACATGAGTTCTGAAAGACTTTTCTGAGACTTGGGAAAGAAGGCCCGACTCTTTTAGGCATTTACCTCAGAGCTTTTGCTAATTAGTGGCTGGGTCATGAACAAGATTTTAGTCCTTAAACAGCTTTTTCAGGATGTGTCCTATAGCAACCCCTGGGCTATGGACTGGCACAGGTCCATGGCCTGTTAGGAACCGGGCTGCACAGCAGGATGAGCGGCAGGTGCGTGAACGAAGTGTCATCTGTGTTTACAGCCGCTCCCCAGCACTAGCATCACCGCCTCAGCTCCACCTCATCAGGCATTAGATTCTCATAGGAGCACCGGTTCCTGGTGCCAAAAAGATTGGGGACCGCTGTCCTATAGAATAAATTCTCAAAATGCTCGGTGATTAAAGAGTTTCATGGCCATAAATGAGATCCATTTCCTTGGATTAAAACATGCAGATGGCCTCAAGGGTTTCACATTTAACTTATCAGTCAACAACCCTTGAGTATAAATTTGGAATTCTTACAGAATTTATTCACCTTTTGGGGAGTCCTGATGTAGCACATTAGCTTATTAAAGGTTCTGGGAAGTTCTACTGTTAAGGAACCTGATTAACACAGCCCCTCCCATCTCATGATAACCTGACACCCTTTTTAAGTTAACAATTCACCTGCTCGAGGAGCTGATATTCTGTAGAATATCTGTGGAATCAACTTGTGGAAATGTTACTTTAAGTCTCCTTTAACCAGCCGGTCAGATTGCTAAGCATATGTTGTAGCTAAAGACACATCATTTTCCATAGTAGCGGAGGGGAAAGTAACTAATATTCACCAATTTAGTTCTTGCTCTGTTAACAAGGCTAGTCTTACTTACTTTAACAGATGCATTCTTTCTTTAAAGTCATTAGTATAAAAACAACAAAAATACATTTAAATAATTTGCTCATGTATATTTGAATTTGAGGCAACTTTTGTGCTGACCTGTGAGGTCACCTTCATGGCCTCAAGGTACTTTACATTGGAGCGTGTCTCAGAGCCGGGGTGTGACCATAACTCAGGTGTGTCCAGCTTGGACACATCCAGGATGCTGTCAGTTGTCCCCAAGTGTGGTGCTGGCTTCTGCAGGACTTTTCCTCGGGACTCATTGCACCAATCGCTTTTTGGGCAGGAAGAAGACGAGTTCATCGTGGAGGGGCTGCTGAACATCTCCTGGGGGCTGCGCCGGCCCATTCGTCTGCAGATGCAGGATGACAATGAGCGCATTCGCCCCCCGCCCTCCTCCTCCTCCTGGCACTCCGGCTGTAACTTGGGGGCTCAGGGGTGAGTGAGGAGAGATGGGACTGGGGGTGATTGGGGGTTTCTGGAGAGTCTGTGTTCTCAAGCAGGTAAATGCCACCTCCTTCCGGCCAACCTTGACCCCAGCTCCTGTTCCTACTTCCTTCACTGCCCATCTGCTCTGCTCTGGGATAAGGAGAAAGGGGCAGACGTTGGTGTGATCAGGTCTCCATGCCTGTCACCACAATTTCTGAGTGACTGTCAGAGTGAGGAGTAGAGATGTCAAGTCAGAAGGGCCAGTGCCTGGGTGAGCAGCATGTCCCCCTCATGGAGAATTTCTGAATCTCTCGGGGGTATTGGTAGTGGCCAGCCAGGCCTGGCCTGCAGATATCTGACAGGATGTCAGATGCCCCAGTGTCCTCCTCGCCGGGACCACTTGTTATAGAGGGACCCCGCTCTGGAGACAATTAGTGTCTGAACCTTTTGACCAAAGTACTCCGTGTCTTGGGGGAACCTGGAAAAGGAAAAGGAATGTTGGATCCTGTCTGAGCCAACCAAGAGAGGTCAGCCAGGGGTCCCTTCAGGACGCACTTGGAGCCGGGTGGCGGTGTGATGGTCAGTAGTCTGGGAGACCCCCTCCTCTGAGTGCCCAGTGAAAGATCTGTGGAGACCAAGCCTGTTCCTTCTCTACCTCCACCACCAAATGAATAAGTTGAGTGCATCCAGTAACGTACACCGTCCTTACTGCCTTTCTGGGACTTCAGTTTTTAGGGTCAACTGACTGTGACTAGTCTTGTTCCATCTTGAAACTTGCTGATGCCCATTGCCTTCTGGCCACGGCATGAGTGGAGCATGCCAACCTCTTGGCCAAAACCACAGTGATTTTTTTTATATTTTGAATGAGAACCAAGCCCTGTCGGCCCCATTGAACATTTTGTTAGACTCCACAATCAAATCTATCTTCTCTAAAGTTGAGAGGAAACTACAATGTGGCCAAGCCCTGGAGCTGATCTGGTTGTTTTCCAAGGGAATTTAAGGAGGAAATTCTTTGCCCATCCCATCAGACGCTGGGATGTCTGGTCACGGTTCTTTGGTTTCATCTAATTTTGCTGGTTTCATACTCTAATTTTGCTTTGCTTTCAGCATTTGCTTTCCAATGGACCAAACCCTTTCCACAGCCCCACCCTGACCCCCAGGCTATGTTACATTCCGTTCCCTCAATGAGATGATTGTTGAAATTCCATTAGACTATGAGGGAGGGGTCTTCCACTGTGCACCCTTGTTTCTTTTCCCTTCCTTGTGGCCGCAATCTGGTCTTGGTTTGTACTCTGCTTTGCTTTCAGCATTTGATTTCCAATGGACCAAACCCTTTCCACAGCCCCACCCTGACCCCCAGGCTATGTTACATTCCGTTCCCTCAATGAGATGATTGTTGAAATTCCATTAGACTATGAGGGAGGGGTCTTCCACTGTGCACCCTTGTTTCTTTTCCCTTCCTTGTGGCCACAATCTGGTCTTGGTTTGTTCTTGAAACCAGCAAATACTGTGAGAGAGTTTTTGGGAATGTAAATAATGTTATCCCAGATGCCTTCTATAATAAAGTGAGTGCCTAGACCACTGTGTTAAGAAGGATGCTGAGCCCAGTTTCTTCTTCAACAAGAAAGAGAGCTTTGGACGAAGGAGTGGGCGCCAAATGTTCACTATTCCTGAGAGGTTCTGACCAGTTCTATTCTGGGGTCAGAAGTCCACAGGTTATACTACGATAGGAAGTTCCTTCAGATTTTCAATTTCAATTGTCTTCCTTTAAAACTATCATGCCCTGAACATGAGTCCTATCTCTCCACTGGGTCCCAGGGAGCCCGCACCCCTCTCACCATGGGATGGTCCTAATCGTTGAATATGATTCTCCTTCCTGGCTGCATCCTCTGTTGATTTGTGTTATGTTTCTTTGAGCTGCTCCCATTCTCCTTTTTGCTTTGAGGAGTTATTTGCCAGTTATCCCTGGCCAGATTGCAGCTCAGACTGCCTGCTCCTAGCCCTTTCTCCAGCATGGCCGATGAGCACTCAGTCCCTGCAACCCCAAGAACGCTGTCATCAGCACCCTTTCCAAAGCCACCCTGACCCTTGTGGCAGCCAACCTATTTTCCATTCCTTTTAGATACCAGAAACAATTTCTTAGTTATTCCTTCAACAGAAATGGATCTGAACCGGAATCTTGTCCCGAGAAATAAATGGCCATTGTTGAGGATTTCCAAATTAGCTGTAGAAACCATACATGCTTAGAAACTCAGCACAGACAACACATGGATTTTGTTCTTTGCTGTTCTCCATCCTGGGCTTGATGAATTGGGTGCTTGTGTTGCTGCAGCTGCTGGGGACTAGCATCTTCTCCCTTTGGAACTCCCCCTCTTCACCCAGTGCTCAGCCTGGAGCTGGGCCAGCCTCATAGAACTCTCAGAATAGCCCACCCGCCTCTTTCGTTGCTTAATGTGTACTGGTCCCCAGCGTGGCACAAGCGAAGTGCTCCCCTTGCGGGAGGGGGTTGGGGTGAGAGTGGGGGCATCTCTCCGTGGGCATTAAACCACCTTCCCTTTTGTTTGTTTTCTGCCCCCAGCACCATCCTGAAGCCCCTCACCATGCCCAATATTCAGATCACAGAGGTAGATGCCCCGGCGGAGAGTGAGCAGACGTCTAGCCCCACAGGTACACGTGTGATGGGAGGAGTCTCACAGGTCCTTGCGAGGTGGGTCTGGGGTCAACTGTGTGGAGACGGATGTGATTGATTTTGTAAGCTGTTACTTACTTTTTGAATAAGTAAAAGCCACACGGTTTAAGAGTCAAAAAATATTTAAAAAGAATTAAAAGTTTCCCATGTCATCTACCCATTATTGCAGTTCCCGCGCTAGAAACAACCTGAACGCATTCCTCCTGAGATGTTCTGTGGAAATACAAGCAAATACATACCCACAAACCTTTATGGTTGGATGTCATTTCTTTTCTTCCCCTTTTATATAGTGGTAGCATTTTACACACCATTGTTTCTATTTATCAATTTGTCTTGAAGATCTTTCCATCTAAGTCTGAAAAGAACTTCGGTGTTCTTCTTGGTTCTGCAGTATCCTGCTGCAGGGGAAAATGACCGTTTATTTAATCGCTTTCTGGTGACAGACACTTAGATCATTTCCAGTCTTTTGCTATGGCAAACAAGGTTGCAGTCAGTGGCCTTCTAGACATGTCATTGCACACATTTGTCAGAGTTTTTAGGATTCTTTCAAGTGGAATCGCTGAGGCTACGTACATTTGTAATTTTTAAAGATATTGTCGGTTTGCAGTATCTTGCAAGTCCTTGTATCGTGTTTATCCTGTGCCAGGCACTGTTCTAAGTGCTTTATGTGCATTAACTCATTTAAACTCTCAACAATCTCTTGAGGAGGGTGCAGTTATTATCCCTATTTTATAGATAAGGAAACCGAGACAAAAGAGTTAGCAATATATGGCAATGGTGGAGCTGGAATTTGAACTTGGGAGTCTGCCTCTAAATTTTGTGCTCTGAACCTTGTCGCTGTATTGCTTCTCAGTAAATTATGCATGTTTTTCCCCTAACAGGAATTACTGATTTTATAAAATATATTTTGGAGGAGGCAGTGGGTGCTATATATAGCATTGGCAACCAAGAGGGGCCTGCCACATGCCGGGTTCAGGCAGGCAGAGCTCATTTCCCCCTCCCCTCTCAGACTCCAGAGGCCTGAAACCCCTGCAGGAAGACACCCCGCAGCTGATGCGCACACGCAGTGATGTCGGAGTGCGTCGTCGTGGCAACGTGAGGACGCCCAGTGACCAGCGGCGAATCAGACGGCACCGCTTCTCCATCAATGGCCATTTCTACAACCATAAGGTAGAGGGGACAGGGTGGCAAGGAGTGGGGGGAAACCCCAAGGTGGGGGCAAGGCCCCTTCCCGGGCGGCCACGACCTCGGGGCTACAGACACCTGGGAAGCCAAGCATTTACTGTTGGTCTTTAGGTTGTGGGTGGGCTGCAGGCTCTGCTGGTTCTGTGAGGAACAAAGGATCGCAGATCAGGAGACCCCCTAGGTGGTGGGTGAGATGACCCTACAGACACCCCTCATCAGATCCTCTCAGGAAATCTCCGTGTTACCCTCTTCTTGCACCATGTGCCTCCTGGCTGCTGTGTGGTCTGACTTTTCCATGAGCTAAGGGCTGCCCCTGAAGGAGAGCTGTGGTACCCAGGTCAGGGGGCATCTGTGCCCCACCCTCCCACTCCAGTTAGCTGACCCTCCTCCCCTCCTGCTACTTGGTTCAGTGAATAGTCAGAGAACTCCCTGTGTGAAAGTCGTCGTGGAGGGGACTTTGCCTATGTTTTGTTTGAAGAGAGGGCCTCCCTTATCTGGTCCTATCCCCCCTCCCCAACCTTGCCCCTTGGCAAGCTCAGACCCCTTGAACTCCTGAGCGCTCTTTGTTGACATCAAAGCCTGATGCCTGCCAGGTATTCAGGGGGCTGCCAGGGAGCACAGGTTGAGTGTCATTGTCCCTGTGCCCTTTACCCCAGGTAACAGGGTGGGACTCCTGGGCTTTAGACCTTGCCCTTGTTCCCACTCCCACCCTGAGCTGGACCCCTCTGTTGACAGACGTCAGTGTTCACACCAGCCTATGGCTCTATCACCAACGTCCGCATCAACAGCACCATGACCACCCCGCAGGTCCTGAAGCTGCTCCTCAACAAATTTAAGGCAAGTTCCCTCTTCTGGCTGGCCTCAGACAAGTGGCACGTGTGCCTAAGGGGCCCCAGAGGTGCCAAGTTGTAGGCTGTGGGGAGTGTGTGGTGACGGGGGCACTGGGCAGAGTTTGGGTTATTTAGACCCCAGGCATCAACATCACCTGGGAGCTTGTTAGAAAGGCAGGTTCTCAGACTGGCTGAACCTTGAAGCTCGGAGGTGAGGCCAGGGAACCTGCTAGATGACGCTTGAAGGGGATTCTGGTGTCGCAGAAGTCTGAGAAGCACCATCCCTCAGGTGCTTTATGGGCCATGGAAAGACCCGGCCTGACAACTCGTGCACAGATTGACTGCTGGAACGCTGTCGGGGAGCCTACCTTGGAAATGAACCATCAATAGATGGGCAAAGTATAGTGCATGAGTATTTTTAAAGTCCTGTTACTCTATATGTTTCTCACAGTCACCTTGTTATAAATAAAAAGACCAGGTATTCCGACTTTAATGGAAGCCAGTGTCACCTAGTGGCCCGAGGGCGCAGGCTCTGGGTTCTAATCCCCATCCATCACCTAACCGATTGGATGAATTGGGCAAGTTACTTAACCTCCCTTTTCTTCTGCTTTCTCATCTGTAAAATGAAGATAACGGGATCCTGTTACAGGGTTGTCATGAGTATTAGATGAGTTTAAGTATTGTAGAAACCTGGCCCGGTCCAATAAGTGTTAGCTCTTACTATCTATTATTATTGATAACGTTACCTGCTGCTCAATTTCCTCATCACTTCTAAGAGCTGCAAAGAAATAGCCCTCCCCTCAAAAGAGCCTAAAATCTATTTAGCTTTACAGTGATAAAGAAGGAATGGCTCAAAGTTAGGATGTGTAACACACGTTTTCAGCAAGCATCTTTTGCTCCTGATTCAGATCGAAAATTCGGCGGAGGAGTTTGCTTTGTACGTGGTCCATACCAGCGGTGGTAAGTCTGAAGAACACAGTGTGCTTTAAAAGTTATAATTAACTCAAAATAGCAAGTTAAAAAAAAACACCCTCTGCCTCATTCACTTGTTGTTTGGGGTTAGAAACCTTCGCTTGCTGTTTGCCTCCAAGGCTGGTGCACTCGCTGGATGAGTCCACTGGGGAATGCCATGTGTGGTCCGTAACAAACCCCGAAACCTAACTGCCTATTAAAAAGGGAACTGGATTTTTGATTTTCTCAAGATACCTATAAAACCAATTCCTCCACTGCAGCATCTTCCAAAGGGTTTGAGGCATAGTAGTATTGTTCAGGGGAGAAGGGAGCGAATGGTTGCTTTGAACACCTGTTGAATTGTTCATGGCAAATCAGTCTCCTGACTTGTATGGCTGCATCTCCTAAGGCAGCGGTTCCCAACCTTTTTTTGGCACCAGGGACCGTTGCTCTTATAATAATCTAATGCCTGATGATCTGAGATGGAGCTGAGGCGGTGATGCTAGCACTGGGGAATGGCTGCAAATACAAATGAAGCTTCGCTCGCTTGTCCGCTGCTCGCCTGCTCCTGTGCAGCCCAGTTCCTAACAGGCCATGGATCAGTACAAGAGTTGGGGACCCCTGTCTTAAGGTGCCTGGTCCACAGGGGCCCCTGAGCTGACCACTACTCACAGTGACAAAGGCCTTAGGCCGAACTCAGGGGTGCTCTGGGCTGTGTGTGCTTTCAGAGAAACAGAAGCTGAAGAACACCGATTACCCGCTGATTGCGCGAATCCTCCAGGGCCCATGTGAGCAGGTCTCCAAAGTGTTCCTTATGGAGAAGGACCAAGTGGAGGAAGTCACCTATGATGTGAGTCCCCTTTCGGTCCAAAGGTCTGTCCTCAGGAGGGTGGGGGTTTGGTTGGGTTACCTGCAGCTGAGGTATAGCTTGACTTTTTGGGCAAGGGCCATGCCCCATTTTGCTGCCCTTCTTAATACAAGGTTTTGTTGAAGCGGTAACGGCCATGGGGCCCGGAGAATGAACGCGGCGGCTAGGTTGAGGATGCGCCCTGTGGGAGATGTTGGAGGAATGTTCAAGCACAAAGTGATTTCCATAGAAGGAATAAATGTCTTAAGCCTTTTTCAGGTATTGCAAGAAGGCCAAGAAGTTTCTGCAAACTCTTTCTTAGCAACTTGAAGAAGTTAGCAATGATTTTATCTTTGTAGTAAGAAACATCCTCAAATCTTAGCTGCTTACAACAGCGAGTATCTACTTTCTCACTCAGGATTCTGCAGGCTGGTAGCAGCAGTTCTGCTCTAGGCTGCATTGCAAGTCTCATTCAGAGGCCCACGCTCAAGGGGCAGTGGCTACCTGGGGTATGTTTCTCATGGTAGATGGCTGGAGTGCAAGAAATGAGGCCAAACCATGTAAGCTCATTTGAAGCCTCTATTCAGATTTGCCATATGTCATGTCTATACACATTCCATTGGCCAAAGCAAGTCACATAGCCAAGCCCAACATGGAAAGGGTGAAGAAATTTACTTCCCTCATGGCAAAGAGTGGATAGAGTAGGATGGAGATTCTGGTGGGGGAGGAGGAGCAGTTGTTTCACTTCAGCTCACCTGGGAGCCACCCCACCCCCACAGCCTCTCAGGATCAAGTTCACATTTGGAGACCTGAGACATAGTCATCATTCCGAGCCTTGGTTCCTGAAATTCTTTTGAGGGACACCAGAGAGATGTGTTAAATGTCATGGGTTCACGTCTTTCTCTGCATCACGGAATCAGGAGAAAGTGCTGTTCCATGTTTGCCATCGCCTCATCATGGGGATACATAAGATGAAAAATGAGAAGTTATGAGATATGTGTCAGGTGAAGGAAGCAGTCTTCATCGCAGAGTCTTTAGCAGCCTTGAGAAGAATGAGGCTCGCCTCCTCCTGCCTTTAAGGAAATCCTGGGTTAATGCAGAAATAGATTTCCCAGTGCTTTGTGCCTTACATGAGAGAGATGCCAAAAGGCATTGGAATAATTCTGGGAGGGGAGCATGCACCCCAGACTGACTTCTTCCCTCCCAGGTGGCCCAGTATATAAAGTTCGAGATGCCCGTCCTTAAAAGCTTCATTCAGAAGCTCCAAGAAGAAGAAGATCGAGAAGTAAAGAAGCTGATGCGCAAGTAAGCATGGCCCTGGTGGCTGGTTGGGTTTTTCCTGGGGCCGCAGTGAGAGGGCTGTCTGTTCAGGCGCCTTGCAGGGACCGAGCTGCTGCATGGGCCTGGGCCTTATGGACCTTCTTCAGGGCGCTTCCCACTGGTGAATCTAGATCTCAAATGGGGAGTGGAACTTCAGTGTCTTGGTCTCTCTGCTTCTCTCATCAGCCTCTAATTTTGATGTGAGACACAAGAATGTTCTGGAGCTTTCAGGAAGGTTGTCTTAGTAGCATGTGGCCTGAGCAACCAACCTCTGGAGTCCTCTCCTCACACCGTGCCTCCCTTTTTAACATTTCTCTTGTGGAAGTTGCATTTGGGTTGAAAAGCCCAGTAAAAATTATCTTTGCGGGGGAGGATTTTATGATTTTTTTTTTTGCCATGTTTAGTCATAAAGCAGACTGTGTTTATGGACATGGTAGAACAATTGATTGATTTTTGCCACTAGAGACGAGAGCCAACATCATATTTGCTGTATCGATGATAACTAGTGTGATAGCCGTTAATGTTTATTAAACACTTGCGTGCAGTGCAAAGCCTCAAACATAAGTAATGTCCCCTTTGGCCCCACGCAAGGGTGCCCACTCCAGCATCTGCATTGCCATAGTTCAGAGAAGAGATGGGGATACTGCATTCACCAACAAGCCACGGACCCCCATGCCTAGTAGTTGCTATGGCCTCTTCTGCAAAATGCAGGTACTGATATGAGGTTGAACCACATGAAGTTGCCATTGTGTAGGCCTCCCCAAATGGTGAAATGTGGTAACTTCGTATGGTCCAGCCAAGGCGAGGATTATATGCTGCTGTGCATACAAAGTACTGTACACAGTGCCTTGGGCATGGTAAGCGCTCAGTTAATGGGACCCTTATTATTGTTCCTTTTGTCATTTCACCGTCTCATCCTTCTTTACCAGGCTTTCTAACTATAGTAAAATAACCTAGTTTGGAGTTAGCCTCTTCAGTCCCTCTCATCCTGCAGCAAAGTAGCTAAAGAGTAGGCCAGTGACAGAAGCAAAGAGACAGGACAGTCAGCCCACGCTGTGACCCGAGTTGGGAAGTAGGATCAAGAAGAGGTGTGTGTCGCTTTCTGCTCCCCACGGCAGCTGTTTCTGTCTCCAGGTACACTGTGCTCCGGCTGATGATTCGGCAGAGGCTGGAGGAGATAGCCGAGACCCCAGAAACAATCTGAGCCACAAGAAAGAGGGGATCCAGATACTGCAATAGCTGCCGTTGACATAAGAAGGCCTGCAGGATACTGGGTGCCCTCCTTCCACAGAAACATTTAAATGCAGACCTCTCTGGCTCCCGAGAAGCCAGCAGACAGCTCCCCATCCTCGGACCCCCGAGCTTCTCCTTTCGTTCACAAGGACTTTTGATTTTTGTTGTAAGGAGGACCCAAAATGTGTGTGTGCGCATGTGCGCGCACATGATACGTGTCTAGTGCCTATACCTGATATATTCACATGCATTTCATTCCAGTCAACCAGCACAAGTGTCATGAGACTGGAAGATGTGCTTCTCGTGGGCAGGAGAATCAGAGGAGTCACCAATCAGGGGTTTTATGCTGAAAAAAAATTTCTCTCCTCAAGTGCTGGGGAGCAGCCACACACATCTCCCCAGCTTAGAAGGGGAAGGGGACTCTGCAAGCTCACCATTTGGGGTATTTATATGTTAGTAGAAACCCTCCCTCTATACTGAGAAGGATCTGTGAACGTGAGAACCCTGGAGACTAACAAAATAACAGCCCTGTGCACTTGGAGCAGGTCTGATGGAAAGAGAGAAACCATCAGTGGGGTAGATGCAATAAGCCCACTAGTTTTTACACTGGAAACTTCAATTTTGAAGAACAAAGATGTATGTGATGATCTGTGTGGATGCCTGTGGAGAATGGATTCCGCCTCCGTTATCTCCTCCATAGCCACCTCTAGGAGATAGGAGTAGAGCCTGATGCTTCTCTCAGAATGCGAGCTGCTGACCCCAACTCTTCGGTGCCTCCTTGAGTTGAAGGAATCATCTTATGAAACAGGCCTCCCTGGTTTGCATGTGGCGCCAACTGGCTAGTGTGACTTAGGCCTGGGCTTATTCTGGGGTGGTGGCCAGGAAGTGTCCCTCTTTGGGGGATTGTAGAGGTCCTTGCAGACATGACAGGTGCCTGTGAGCCCAGCTCATTTTCGCACTATCAAGGGGTCTTCTGCACTTGAAGCTGCACTTCTGTGTCATTTAAGTCAAGACTTTATTCTTTCCAAGGCTGGATTCTTGCACCTTGCCCTCGCCTCGTGCATGGAGATGAACTCCAAGAATGAGGACTCATCTTGCTCTTGACCAAGTGTGGGCTTCAAGGAAGCTCTTTGAGCTGCCGGGGGAAGGTGCAGATGGAGGATGGAGCTTTTCTTTCAGCTTCTCTGAGCAACTACCTGGGTGATCTTCAGAGCAGACCATAATGGGAGGAAAAGGGCTGGGATGTTCTGTCCGCTGGGGCCCCCATCGGGGTCGCCAAACAACTGGGTGACAGGTTTGAAGAGGGACAGAGAGATACTTGAGCAGGGTGCCTGGCTCTGGAGATCAAGCAAAGCAAGGCCAGGACTCCTGACAGCACGTGTCTCCGAGCCTTGTTGGGGTCGGGCCCCATCTCTTCACCTCCTCTCTAAGAGTAGTTTGGAGAGATGGCCAGTTGGGGAAAGGAGAACCACTGATTGGTGCCTGCAAGGAAGGCAGAGCTTTGCAGCAGAGCCGTTCCTTCCCCAGGCATCCTCTTGCTCCTTTCCTGCCCTGGTGGCCTCCATGGCCTCTGTAGATGGCTCACAGCTGTGGTCTTATTGTTGACTTTCAAAAAGATGGCATGTTGCCACTTGGCATTTTTCCAGGGGTCTCTTAGCAGGCAAGCCTACCTCTGTGGGGACAGCACCAGGTGCCCAGTGGGGTTTTGACTGGAAACCTGGAGGGGCTTAGTCTCAACCATGCACCTCGGTGGGCTTTGCAAAATGCACAGAATTGGCAAAAAAAAAGAAGGATGGAAGGAAGGCTTCCTTTGTTACCGATGAGAAAGCAGTTTTGAGAATGCAAACATGCTTCCTGAGTTTCTCATTTGAGAAAATGAGTTGGAAAACTTCTCTTCCAGTTATTTTTATTTTGAATGTTTAAAACTTTTCCTGGCCCTGATAATTCTCCTTGGAGGGCCAGGGGGAAGAATTTCCACCAAGCAAATACTAACCACTAACTCTTATGGGACAGCTACTTGTGGTTTATGAAAGTTCCCTTTAATTTGCACTAGCACAACGTTCATGTTCAATGTAGAAATCTTGTAAAATGTCAGGTTTGCCAGATCACTTTCTGAGAGAGTGATAACATAGATTTGGCTCTTTAAAGATGGGGGTTGGGGTGGAAGTGAGGGGAGATTATATCTTACACAATATATTCCATTTAATGCAGGCCACACTTTTCCATTTTGGCCCACCCTGTTTAGAGACATGTCTCACATTCTAATCAGGAATTTTGGAAAGGTTCTTTGAAACACCAGCAGCCGAAACAGACACCTCCACGATGTGGAGCCAGATTTTCTCACTGGTATCACATGGCCCTGCAGCTTTGAACTCTTGGACTGATTTGTGTGGGTTTTTGTAATTGTGTGCAATGAACCTGAAATCGTGTGAAGAACAAAAGGCCAATTTATAGGGTTTTTTTCCCCTAATTTGTGAAAAGCAATATAGCCTCATCTGCTTTCTTTTGCCAGGGGCTTATGTTACAAGGTGATCGAATGAAGCAAAACCCGAGTCCATCTGGCTGGGGAGGGGGTCCGTTCCCCCAGGTGATGGTGGAATTAAGCACAAGGTCACGTTCTCTGATCCCATCAGTGGGAAGGTGATGAGTTAAAAGGAGGGTGGTGGTAAGGAGGGTGGGGTTACCTTGGGAGGGACTGAAAAGCACAAGGGACGGGCTTGGCTGTGCATACTGGTGAGGAGTGTACACCTGAGTTTCCAGACTAGAGGGACTTCGAAACCAGAAGTGGAGGTTGAGGTGAGAGGATCTCGGATTAGCCACCCACTCAAGTAAAAAATGCTGAGACCTGAGATTGAGATTTTGGTCTGAGTCTTCAAGAAGAAATATCTTCACCCTTCTCTCCCTCCTACTGGAAAGAAAACTATATTCCCGGTTGGAAATCTCCAGATAAAGACATTTTATCATCAGTGTAGATAAGATTTTGGCAATAATGACCAAAGTAGAAGAAGAAAAAAAAAAAGAAACCTGTGCTCCAATGCAAAAACATCTTAGCAAGAATTCTTTTCTGTGGAGTTAGGTGGTTATTTCAGTGTCAGGAGAGTGGAATGGGCCACAGAAGGGCAAGAAGCTCTCAAGAAGAGAGAAACTTTTTAAAGCCAGAGTTATTTCAAAGCTCTGTAGCACTGAGAACACAGTGTCATAAATGCATCTCCAAGAGAGAAATTTCTATATGAATAAGGGAATTTCAGAGTCTCATAGTGACCAAACCATGAAGTGGGGCCTGAGATAGGATACACGGGAGATCCCCTCAAGTACCCCTGATGCTGCATTTTTGAGCCTCTACTTACATTGTTTTACACAAAGCCTTGCTTGAGTCAGATGTGGTGGGAGATGGTCTCCTAGCGAGGTAGAAATAAAAATAAATGTGGATCCTTTCAGATGTGATTGAAAGTAATTACAAGATGAGGACCAGCTGGGAAGGGAAAGCCCCCTTCCCCCGCCCCTCTGCCCCACCGCCGCCCGCAGGTTACACACCTGTTTCCCAGGTTGATGGTTTCTGGTGTGTTTTTGCTCGTGTTTCTTAAGGGTTTCCCCACTTGTTTTAGCTTTGTGAAGTATTCCTTTCTTAATCATAATTTGCCTTTTAGCAATGGTACATAACCTGGTTCCATGTTTGGTTCTGAACTTATAAACTGATATGTTTAGGTATTTTAACCTAATCTGACAAGGCCTCAGTAGGGAGCCATGAATTTCTGTAACATTTTGATATGTTTTAATGCACCCGACTTAGATCTTTGTTGAATAAAGCACTTTTCAAGAGAAGTGCCCCGCGGATGGGTCTCTGTGTGTCCACGGGGTGAGAAGCCTCTGCGTTCGGAAGGTTGGGGATAAGAACGTGAAGGTACACCCAGGAGAAAAGTCGATTTCCTTTCTCCAGAGTTTATGGTTTGAATGGGCTCAGACTTGGCTGTAATATCCCAAATAAGAAGTGAAATGGGAATGTCTCTGTGTGAGTCTTGAGTTAAGGACCTGGTAGAGACGGAAGTCATGGTGGAATGGACTGCAGACAACCGTTCAGGGAGGTAGGTTTTTGTCCTGACTCTACTGGCTTTTTGGGACCAATTCACTCAACCTTTTTCTAGGACTTGGTTTTCTTGTCTATTAAATGGCCAAGCCACCCTGTGGGGTGTGGGGACCTGGGCTTGCCTCTGTGGGAGGCAGCACCCCAGGAGTCACCAAGTGTAAGACCTCAGACTAGGGCCCACATTCCACTCTCTGATTAATTTTATTTTAACTAAAATTGGCTAGGCCACGGTACCCAGATATTTGGTCAAACACTAGTCTAGATGTTGTTGTGAAGGTTTTTTTTAAAAGAGTTTAATATTTAAGTCAATACTCTTTGAGCAGATCAGATTTTCTCCACAGTATGGGTGAGCCTCATCTAATCAGTTGAAGGCTTTAAGAGGAAAAGATTGATTGCCCTGAGGGAGAGGGAATTTTACCTCCAATCTGCCTTTGGACTTGAGCTGCAACATCAGTTCTTTCCTGGGTCTGTAGTCTACACGCCTCCCCTGCAGATATGGGGCTTGCCCACCCCCATAATCATGTGAGCTAATTTCTTAAATCTGTATGTATATACATCCTTTTGGTTCTGTTTTTCTGGAAAACTGACTTAACAGAGGGGTTATGTGGTTGGTTCATAATATCGAATATGTGTTTGACAGTTGCCTTCTTAGGAAACAGGCCATGGAGCATAAATAATGACCAACATAATTTGATCTCTAGAAAAAGATAACAATCAAGATAAGATTTTTTTAAAACAATGCCCTCAAACAATACATATATTTTTTTAAAAGAGAAAAGTTTGAATAAATTACCATTCCCTTTAAATGTTGTTTTGCTTTCTTATATTTAGAATTTTCACTCCAAGAAGTAGCTTTTTAGTTGCTGAATTGATGAAGTTGGATGAAATAGATGGGCAGTTAACACTTCCGAGGTGGTGAGGTTTCTGAACTGTACAGCACGTGGATATTGGCTACATAGGTAAAAGATAAATGGTCCATTTGGGGCCCCACCAAGACCCCAAATCAGGCAGTAAGCCATAGAGAAGTGAGAGTACCTAAAATCATTCAACAAATGCTAATAGCTTCTGCCAAAGGAGCTGGCAGTTCTTGGCTTGCTTTATGGAAACAGATTTCATGAAATAATTTGGTGTCGTCTATTTTAGGTAATGAAGTCATTACCGAACTGAATTTGCTGCGAGCATGAGACTTTACTGTGAAGTTTTAATACATTTGAATAGGTTTGGTTGAGATGCTTAGATGCAAGCAGACCTACTAAAAATTGAACTTGGGTAAAATCGACCTTGCTCTTTTCATTCTAAAACCTTGCAAAATAAAATTATTACTTATGATTTAAGTGTATAAGTTACATAAGTATGTAAGTTAACTTTACATAAATATATGAGTATATACTTTTAAAAGTATGGAAGTTAACTTTAAAAGTTTTAAAACTACGGGCCCGTCGGTAGGGACGGTAAACCTTAGTTTGCTGAGGGCAGTTCCGGTTTTGTCTGCTGTTCTAGGGTAATTATCAATGGTGTCCTCTGTTTCTCTCAAAATGTTAAAAAGACTGGATGATAAATATG